ACAAGAACATTATTTGCCAAAATAAAAAAATTAAAACCGAAGAGTTACTTGCTGTAGACCGCTGGTTGCTGGTGTTGCTGTAGGAAGCTGTTGTTTTTGCCTTCTGCTTGTCTTGGGAATTGGGTGTTTGTTTTGAGTAGCGTAGGATATTATTATAATACTAGTATCATGTAATGACTTGGTGGCCACTTCTAAAAGTAACTTTCTGAATATTTATGAGCTACATTTAAGAGTGCACGCCTCACACGTAAAACTCAGTCGCCGCTATCGAAAAATAGGAACTTATTGGGAAGTGTTACGTCTTCGAGGCTCAAAGTCAAAGTACTATGTAGCAATTCACATGGGCAGAAAGTCAATAGAAAAGTTAACAAGGATTCAAGTGGTCAAATATAAAGAAATTATGCAAACTACCGAACCTCGTACCGAAACACTACAACTTGGGCAGCGAAACAAAGAAAGGAGCTAAAGCTCTCCACTCAAACGACGAACACAAAGACTCCTCTGAGGCTCTCAATTCATCCGAAGCTCATGGAGTCGACGCTCTCTCTTACAACGTATTTGAAAATCTTTTAGAAGTGATTGATGTAACACTTGTAATAAAGAATGTCAGTATGTCAACCTATTGTATTAGGCAGCTGACCCCTTATTAATGTATTAATTGTATAAATAGACAGTAATGTAAAGCATCAACTAAGGAGATGATACCACGCGGTTCTGATCCAACAGACACCACGTCGGCAAGGCACTATAAATAGGCTCTCTTTGTAATTTAGAAATAATTGAAATTATAGATTCTTAATTTGATATCTTGAACTCTTGAATATTGAATGAGCAAGAAATATTTACAAACACTTTTGTGAGCATTTTCATCCTCCATTATACACTCTTGGTAGATAAATATCTTAATACACAATCTTACAATTTCTATTCATACAATTTTCTATCATTTCACATATTCTAGTTAGATCTTTGTTTCTCAATTGGTGATCATTGTTAGTGCGATCATTTTTGTTTCATCCGTTGGAGCTCTAACACTTTTGTTTCCCGCTGTAGAGTATCTTTGGCATTCACATCCGTCTCCTTTCTTACCGCTCCTCCGGTAAAAATGAGCCGAAACTTGCTTGAATTGGAGAGAGTGGGCTCGGCTTCTGTTGGATCATTTTTTGGGGTCAACATGAAGCTTTAGCATTCTCTCCGGCCTCCATCACTACTCTCCATCTCTGTAGCGCCAAACCCTGCGTGCTACAGTCTCTACAACTGTTAGTGCAACTTGTCGACGTCTCCAGCATGCTACATTACTAGTGTCGCATGCTAAGTTGCCTTGGTTGCCGGATGCTACATTATCGTCACGGAGTTTGTGGGTGCGCCGTGAAGTCGCCGGTGAGAGAAGAGTGGGTGAGAGGAGATGGAAATAAGGGAGAGTCAGCTTAGTAGGGGGAGAAAGAGGAGATTGAGAATACTCAGGTTTGGGAGGCTAGATGTTAATGGGGGTGGATATGTAAAATAATTTTTTGATAGAAAAATTAGTAATTCTTAATTATGAATTTAGATCTTGAAAATATTTAATCCCTCTAATTTTCACATATCATTATAAATTCACGAACTTTTGGGACACCTAAATTTTGGAATCTATTAAAAATTGGATTGAGGTACCTAATTTTAACAAAATCCATTGAAATTTAGGGATATAAATATGACAATC